TATTTCCCATGCTCTATGCATTAGTGTAGAGACATCTAAGACTATGTGCCAGTCTGCTTGACCCCTCTCTTAACCTGGGGCCCATTCACACCATAAAATTATAGTGCTATTATTCAACTTTAATTGCTATTGTTCCATCTGGGGATTAAACATTTAGAGAGGGGCATTTAGAAGTCTCAGACAGAGCATTCTAGTGCTTCACCAAATGACAAACCCCAAGATTCTATAGGCAGTTAAAGTGGAGTGTTATAGTGTTATAATTGTGTGGTGTGGGTGGGCTTCTGATTCATGGTATTATGTGTCTGCCCCTACTAGCAGCAGCAGCTAATGATGAGGAGTATGAGTGACGAAAGACAAAAGGAAAGACAGTATGACAAACATTTCTCAAGAAAAATATATGTATTATATCTTTTATTTTAATTTTTTAAAATTTATTTTAAAATATTTCATTTTGCTTCCTTTTTATTTTGTTTTTATTCTGTGACTTTTGGTTTTTTATTTTTGTTGTGACAGCTTAATTACGGCAAATTAAAAAAACACAGAGTAAAACCAAACTTAGCAAAGGCATGCATGCGCCAAAAGACATGGTAGGCAGGTTTATGGAGCCAGAAGAGAACACAAACTGCCAAAGCAATGCACTCATAGTTCTGTCCTGTGGAATCTTGAAGCTTGTAGTTTGGGGAAATACTAGAACTCCTCAGGTGAGAATTATAAATGCCTTTCCTAAACTGCAATTCCAAGGATCCCACAGGACAGAACTATGGCAGTTAAAGTAGTATCATGGCACTATAATTGTGCAGTATGAAAGGGCCTCAAAATGTACCATTTGGTCTTGCCCTGAAGGCAGCAGCGAGTGAATCTAGATGTGAACGCACTAAAACCATTGTTAATAGATTTCAGACTTACCTGGGAATGCTAGTTAAATACGTTACAACATTCAGAAAATCCTCATCAGGGATTTCGCTGAAGCCTGGATATTCTGGGAAGGTAATGATTGGTGCCCCATCTTTCCCTCTTCCTCCTGCAAGACAAGTCAGCTTTCAG